TTTTTCTCTCTTGCTTTCCCTTAAACCTCTAAAGGCTTGTTCACACCAAGACGAATGTTCGCTGTGAAAATTCAGTGCAATAAACATTTTGAACATTTTGTATTAACGTCTGTTAATACGTCTATTCAGGCCGACACAAACATTTGCATGCCATTAATGTGGCAAGATTTTTTTTTTACAGTGAGGTGTTGTAATCTCTTTTCCTTCAAACTGCGATTTAAACCTGGCCAACCAATAAGATTTTGGTCACATGCACAGAACCACTGCTGTTACTTGGCGGCGCTCGTTAACAAACCATTTTACAAACGACAGTGAATAGTAGATAAAGAATCCAAAAGTAGCTCTCCTGTATTTGGTGTTTACCTGGGTAACCTACATATTTCTGTTTTTCTGTAAGCGCCATCTACTGTCATGGAGGAATTTTACATTTTCATTCAGCTCGTCCGAAGTTTTTTACACATTGGTCTGAACAGACAATTTACATGTGAAAATTGGGCTGAAATTTATTGACCAATATTTGAGTTGGTGTAAGCACCCATCTTTAGAATAGTAGTGATCTCAACCATGCGTCATTTTGACTGTAGCTATCAGCTAGGGGGTCTTGAGTAGACCTGTTGTGTGCTCACCACAATGACAGCCCACAGCTTTGTGATTTCCATCTACCCTCCCTAATAAATCAATAAGGCTTAGCATTAACTGGCAGTCAGCACTGATATAAGTCAATTTACACACGCAGACACAGAATGATGGAAGCCGATTGTAGATGGCCACAAGGGCGATGACTGTTTGCATAATCATTACTAAGTTGAATGAAAAGAGTCTTCAATTCAGAGGAATTCGACTGGGAGTTAAGGCCATTCTGTGTGAGTGGCTGCTAAAGAGAGAGAGAGAAGGAGAGAGAGATGATTTTGTTTCTGTATCTGGAGCTTATAATAGTAGAATAGGAGTGAAGGGCTATGGAATAGCTCTCATACACAGAACAGAACCGAATTTGTGCACGCATTTTATCATGCCCCAACACGTACCAGCATGTACACCCACTCAGTGTCTTTTCATAAGGGCCATTTGTTTTATTTGAATTGGTATTGAGGTTCTCCACCATAATGACCCTAGGTTAGAAATGGTTTGCCAAGCATGTTCAATATAAAACCCTGTTTGTATTTCCACTTAGTTATGATGAGCCATCAGTAAGTGCACTGATAAGCTGCCATAACATCTCATAACCTATTTTAACATCCCATCAGTCAAGACAGCTTACTTAGGACCTTAGTTGGGGGTTGAGGTCTAGCTCAGCAGTCCTATGGGAGGGAAGCACTCATGGGAGCTTGGGGACAGTTCATTAACACAGATAGAGAGAGAGAGTTGGCACTAGGTAAGGGTATCGTGTTTAAAAGGAGCAGTCACAAAAGCCAACACACCATACGCGAATAGAGCATCTGGCGCGAGTGATTCCAATGTAAAGTCAATCTAAAGACACGTTTACCCGCGTCTATAGGTCCTGCGGCGCGAATGAGGCATTTAGCACAGAGCGGTAGATGCGAATTCGCCTCATGATTTTATTTGTTGCATTCACACGTTTGATGCAAATTTGCATCTGGTTACACTTTATTACGATAGTCACTTTAGATGTTCTACTAATTATAAGTACATTTTTAACTACGTGTCAACTAACTCTCATTAGAGTATTAGTATATTATTGTAAACTGTCAGTAGACTGTTAGGTTATGGTTAGGTGTTAGTCTTTGGGTTAGTAGAATAAATTTACTTGTAGTCGCCAAGTTACTTATAGTCAGTTGAATGTCTGTTGGGGGACCAACAAAATAAAGTGTTAGCAGATATTAAGCTGACAGTCTACTAATACTCTAATGAGAGTTAGTTGACATGTAGTTGAAAAGTTACTTATAGTTTGTATAATGTCTAAAGTGGACTATCGAAATAAAGTGTTACCTTGCATCTTATCACATAAGAACTGGATTTCAATATATGAGACATTTATTCCATAACTAATCTAGATTATATGAAACATTATTGGCTTTAATGGTTGGCTCCATTTATCATCAAAACAAAAATAAATGACACATAAGGTGGGTGAGGGCGAGGGTGATCCTCGCTCCGATGCGGGACAATAGGTCATCAAGCGGAGCACAGGATAGACGGAAGTATCGCTGAAAACAACTGTCATCCAGGTGCAGTTCCCGGAGCAAATGGTCAAACTCGCCAAACTGGGAGCGCCTCCGGAGGGTCTGGTGGACTCAAGTACGGGCGAAAGATGACCACTACGCCGCTGTTCTACTCTCCAGAGCGGTGACTCTCTCGACGAATGCTCAATCAACATCAGCCATCTTGCAAACAGACAGCCGCCTAGCACTGGCCCCTCTCACAAGAAGTGGATTTAGCCTCAGACACACGTCAATTTCGCTTCAAACGCTTGCTTTTTTATGCGTGTCAATTTCACTTTGGACGCGCGAATGGATTCAAAATGTTCAATCGTCTGACTAGATTAATTTGACTATCTATTCGCGTTTGGTGTGAATGCAACATCAGCCTTTGCAATCAAAAAAGGATATGGCCCACCACTTTGTTTTGCCAAATTTCATGAGAGAATTATTGTACACGTTTCACCTTCTACCATGAATAAAATTGTGAAAAGATTCAGGGAATTCCGAGAAATCTGTAGGACAACCATTCAACCCGAAAGAAGTCATATAACCAACTTTTTTGTAAAGTGTTTTGCAGCCATCAATTACATTTAAGTTGGTCAGTGAAAATATTGAAATCTTTTTTTTGTAAAGCCAGTTAAATAAAGGTTAAAGAGAATTAACAAATCACAGATTTATTATGTCTTTAATATTTGAATGTTAGTTATTGTTATGTATCTAACTGTTTGACAGTGTATTCACATCTCTAGCATTTTTAAAGTCTTTCATTTTTTGAAGCTGAGTTATTGTTTCTAATGGTTTAAAAGTTAGTTATCATATCTTTATTTGTTTTTTTAACAGTATGAATGGCATTTCAAATATTTTTAAACCACAGTTCAACAGAAATAGTCCTAGATAACCTGTCAAACGCTTAGCGGGAAATGGTGCTGCAATATAAACAAACATTGCAGGACTCTTACATTTGCTCATAATGAGGAAGCTAGGCCGACGGTGCACACCATGACTCACGAGTTAGAGCTCTACTTTCCTTTTCAGCGTAGAGGAGTCTGACATCCGTTAGTTCTTGTTTTATATGTAATAGCAACATTAGCTTTAGCAATATTATTTGTGTACAAATACAAAATAGTTTGTACAAATAAACAAATCAGAGCTGCTCTCTCTTGCATGATCTTCAGCATTGCTGATTCTGGATGTGTGCCAAGTATCAGGAGAAAACCCTTTTAGCAGCCATTACAGAACGCTCTGCCTTCTTTCTCTTGCGTTCTCTCTTTACCACTTTGTATCCATATCCCTCTCCCTACATCTCTAGCAATCTCTCTCTCTCTCCCCCTCACTCTGTGTCTCTATCCCCATGGATGCTTACATGGAGAGATGCACCTGGCTCTCTGTTTTACATTCATGAGTGAGTAAGGCCTGTAGCATCTGTCCTTGTGCAACCCCTACACGTGCAAATAACCGATTCCAGAGACCGAGAGGACCATAATGTTGTATTCTGCCTGGAGTCCTTCTTTGGTTCTTCAATTCATCAAAACATTATTCATTTGATATAGTTTAATGTGATTAATTCCTGTCGTTTAATGTGATCATATTTTGACCTCTTTGGACTTCCAGTCTTATGTATTTGCATTGAGTGTGTTCAAAATGTCAAAATATCTTTATCTAATGTGCAGTAATACATTTTCTAAACAAATTTAATTTGGTACTTTGTTATAGTACAATATAGTGATTCATGTCAAGGGTCACATTACACTAGCTATGTTTCCATCCACCTATTTTTATCTGCATTTTGGTACTTATTTTGGCGGTCCTATTTTTTTCAGCCTATCATCTGATGCTGTTTTGGTTGTTCTCAAATTTGTTCTCATTTGCCTTTGAAAGCAAGATAATGCATTTATTGTGCTCCGTCTGCACAAGAAATGTATTATATATGAAAATTATTATTTTACAGTGGTGGCTCCTTCTACTTTTCTTTGTGATATTTAACGCCAGTTTTATCAGGAATTGACAATTTTGTTCACTTTTACTCACTGGATGGAAACGCGGCTTTATTTGCACTGTAAAAAGATATTTTCAAGATTTGTTATCACAACATATTTTCTTTTGTCAAATCAACTTTATAATAATTTATTTAGTTGAGATATATTATTATTTTGAGTTTCTGATGATTAAATGAATCTCACTTTTTTTTTTATTAACTCACTTTTTCCAGTTCAATCAACTTAAAATTTTAAGGCAACCCAGGTTACTTACTTTTTAAGTTAAACCAACAATATTTTTACAGTAATCACAACATTTTTTCTTTTGTCAAATCACCTTAAATAATTTATTTAGTTCAGATAACATAAATTTTGAGTTTCTGATGATTAAATCATTCCCCTTCATTCTATCAACTCACTTTTTCCAGTTCAATGAATTTAAACTTTTAAGGCAACCAGGTTACTTACTTTTTTAAGTTAAACCAACAATATTTTTACAGTGTGTAAATGTTTTATGCAATATTCCAATTTTGCATACAAGTTAAATTCACAACTAATATGGATGGAAACATAGCTGCAGTGGTGTGAATAAAATTAATTTAGAATTTCACCGCTTTTTGTGTCAATTTTCTGTTTATCTCTGAAAAAAAACATAAATCTATATTTAAATCAATTAAAGGTGCATTTAGGTTTACTATTAATATGCTTTTTTCAGAAGGTTATCTTGACTTGAGTGTGGCCTTGAGATTTTATTGACATTAATGCAAACTTATGGATTTGTATTATTTTTCCTGCAGCACCTTGTACATTAGCAGTGATATAATGTGTATCAGCTCATGTAACTGAATTGTCTTCTGTTTTGCAGCCCTTTTGGGTGCCGGTGCTATTGGACTTCAGTAGGAAGGATTCTGTGTGGGGCTTTGTGCCCCCTCAAGACAGTTCCACTTCGGGAGAACAGCAAATTCCCATCACCCTGCACTTAGGAGACTATAACCTGGATGGCTTTCCTGATGCCCTTGTCATCCTTCGTAACACCAGCAGTGGCAGGTGAGTCAGGATCAGTCCTGGGTAGAGTAGCCAAAATCTGTTCTCAATGACAAGTATTATTGTTTATTTATATCAATAATTACTCCAGTAGGAGCAACAGTAATGATGAATGATTGAGTAAGAGAAAGGTAGCTTCCATTACTACTCAGATAATGAGCACTGGTTGCATAGGATCTTAGCAAGCATTTCAGAGCAAGTACTGGAGATGGTGTTAGTGCCATGGTGAAAATAAGTCTATGGATAGTCATTATGAAATTGTTTACTTGTTTTATAGTGCAAAAAGTCACCATTGTTGTGATGTATACTATACACATCCTGGGTTTTGAATGAAAAATTGAAATCATATCTCAGTTATAAATCACAAACAGTTTTCCAGCAGACACTAGATTTGCACATCGTCTTGAGATGGATACACCATATTTTGAAGAGTGTTGGTAACTAGACAGTTAACGGTAGCCATTGACTTCCATAGTAGGGACAAAATAGGGAAGTCAATGGCTACATTCAACTTTCTGGTTACCAACATTCTTCAAAATATCTTATTTTATGTTCAACAGAAGAAAGAAACTTTGGAAATACTTGAGGGGGAGTAAATGATGACAAATTTTTCATCTTTGAATGCACTAACCCTTGAAGGAAATCTGTCAGGGTACTTGTACAGAGTTATAACCCGCCTCTGTGCGACAATGACTTCTATATTAAAATGTGAATTACTGAGCAAGAAAATTATTTTTTATCAATATTGAATGGTAAAAAAGGAACTAGGTTTTGCATTTTAAAAGCAAAAACCCACCACCATGAAACTTTTAAAATACTTTCCTAAACCCTATTGCATTTTTGCACTCGTACAATACTTTTTACTTCCTAAGAAACAAACCAGGGATGAAGCTCAACATTTATTACTTTTCCCTTTATCCAAATAGGATCTTTTAGATACTGCCACAGTACCTGTTTTTCAAAGCACAGCCGTGCTTTTTCCTTCTCTTTTTTTCTCCTTGAAAGAATTTGAACTGAAGCAGCAAGAATTTCTGACATTCTGGTTCATATAAATTTGCTTATGGTTGTGCCATCACAACCATGGCAATTTTTGAATGACCAATATTTGCATCTTTCTGTAAGTGGTGTGGGTGGACTGGGGACATTGTTTGTATGGTGTTGCAGTATATCTATCTATCAAAAAATCTTTAAAATAGCATTTTTCATTGTACATGACAACTGATTCACTAATGTTAACAATATATAAATGGCAGTGTAAAACCTTGTCGAGTGACCACAAAACAGACAGCTGGGACGTCGCCCATCTTCGATCTGGCCTGACCTAAGTGAGGACAGGCAGGCCTGTGAGAGAACAGCAGAAAGGGCATGAATGGATTAACAGCTCTCTGATTGAGATAAGATACCAGAGCCTCTGCCGCTGGCCCTTAGGTGGCTATGAGAGATGCTCCAGATGCTTTTAGAAAACAAAGACAACTTCATGTCACCCTGAAGGGCAGGAGATGTGTGTCCGGACTCAGAGAATCACATGAGGTGGTTTAGCCACACGCACAGAATTCTTGAAAACCCTTTTGTTTTTTTATGACCTGCTTATTTTTATTCTTTAGTCTTCATTCTTAACACATTAGGTCGACCTAATCTTTAAGTCAGCAGAGGCTTAACCTTCCCCTTGTGTCATAAGAGTTTAGTGCTTGCTATAGTCTCCTCTAATCACCCCACAGCCAGTCTCATCAACTCACTTCAACAGTAATCAGGCAACATGCATCCAGAGACCTCAGAGATGCAACAGAGTTTGTTCAAATCGGCCTATTGTCATTAATGGTTCAGATGCCAAGGAGAGTGATTTGATTCTCATCAGCCAGGAGCTGGATGTTAAAACCTCCTCTACTCACAGCTGGCCACTTTCTTATCTCATCAATCTGTGCTTGGATCGCTCTAAACACTCCCTTGAACCTTTTAATTAAAGACCACAGCGTCTTTCTCTGAATCTTTGGTCTTGTTGTGGTTTACATCTCCTTCTGCTATTATATCATTAAGATGTGGTTGCCTTAAAAAAATTTAAAAAATCACATTAGCCACATACACACTGCTACTGAATTCGGTTGTCAATTCACCTTTTAGTGATTAATCCTGTTCTGTACACACACACTCAGTGATTTACGGGAGTGACAACCGCATTTACAAAACATGCTATGCAAACATGCAAACGGAGCCAGAAGTTGTTAATCACGTATTTTAACGTGCATCAGAGATGTTTCTCTCTTCTGGATGTGCTTAAATCACAGGGAAAGTGGTACGAGTCTGACTCATTCATGTTGCCAGATCTTGCTAGAAAAGCAGCGAACAAAATCCAAATGCTGAAATTAAGAAAAAAATATTGCAACCTCCACAATGATCACATTAATAAATTCATAAACTCGATTGCTTTATGAGCCAAGCTTAAACAACAAGCCTAAAAACAATTATAAAATGTGGAAATCTGTGAAAAAGCCTTTCCAAGCAAAAGAAAGAAACAACGCCTCTGCCGACTTTGCTTTAGTCAAAATTGCTGGACATATACAAGTCTTTTGTTGCTGTACTATTTCTTTGGTCAGAATTGCAAAGACCAAATATGTAAGACCCCAGAGCGTTTCCATGCTTACCACAGTGTCAATCACGCAGTTTCAGGTGTGAGTCGTGTTCCATACATGCATGGAAGATGGAACAATAATTTAGGGAACTCATTCCCACATTTAAATGCAGCTGTCACTCCTTTAACTTCGGACTATGTATGTGGCGTGGCCTTTGAGATTCTTGCACCCTCTACTTTTTGCTATTTAAAACAGATAAAATATATTTCATGCCACCTTTTTTTACAGATAGAATTTGTATTTGAATTTTGAGCAGGGACCAAATGATGATGATTATTATTATTATAGTTTATTTAGATAGGGACAGATACAAATAACATAGATACACTTTGACATTGATCTGATGCATGTATCAATGTTTTTAGCCAAAGCTAATTTACCACATTTGTCCCTAGAAGGGCTTTTTAGTAAAATGCAATACGTGCAATACAATACATGAGCAATACAACACAATAAGGGCTTTTTGATAAAATGCAATACAAGGATAAATCTAAAATATCCTATAAAAAATGTATCTATAAAACAATGATCTCTAAAATAAAATAAGTTCAAATAAAAAAGGACAACATTTAATTGTAAAAAACTGTGTTGAATATAGGGGCCTAATGGATGTCTGAAGGGGTATATATATGTTCATGAGGTCAGAAGCAGCATGCTGATATCCACCAAACGCATGGGCGTTTTTCCGTTTAGAAATAAGTGACGGATTTAGATGTGAATAATCTTGTGCCAGTTTCTTTTCTTGTTCCCCTCAAACGCTTTCAAACTGCTCCAGCCCATTTTGTCAGCAAAGGTTGTCATGGTTTCTGAGGTGATAGAGTGTGTTGGAGTTGGTAAGTGATTTTTTTTGAGCGAGTGGGTGGGTGAGAGAGTTTACCCAACCAGCCAGAGACATTTTCAAAGTCAAAATCGTTTAGAATTGAAATGAGAGCTTCACACTTCTTTTAAATGAGACAAAAATAGTCAACAGCAGATATGGTGACAGTGCACAGATTTATGCTTGTCTAGTTTTCTTATTTTTCTTAATTTTTCTTAACTGGGGATTAACCGTGGATGAATGTTAGCATTCAATTTGTGTTATCTTATTGACTCTTCAGGGTTCTTCATATCTCCATCCTCTTCATGTTCAGACCACATCATCAGCCTCTCTCCACTTCTCTGTGGGCTCCTGTCATTTAATGTCTCTCTCTCTCTCTCTCTCTCTCTCTCTCTCTCTCTCTCTCTCAGTTATCTCTCTGTCAAATGCTCTTTAGGCAATAAATATAAGATAAAGGGATGTAATTGGCAGATGAGGTGTAGGTGTACAGTAGATACTATTTTTATCTTCTGTTGTGCCCTCTCCTTCCAATCTGAATGTTTGCAATTTAGTCTGAAAATGTAGATTTTAAATCATAAATCACAAATTTTTAATCTCAATCTTGGCAGTTTGCAGTCATGTAAAAAAAAAGAAAGGACACCCTATTGAATTAAGAGGGTAAGTAGCAGTCAGGAGCTGCTAATCAAATGCCTTTCATCAATTAATCAACTCTATTAAAGCAGAAGTTTTGTCAGTTTACTGGTCTGGAGCATTCAGGTGCGGGTTAACACAATGCCAAGCAGGAAAGACATCAGCAATGATCTTAGAGAAGCAATTTTTGCTGCCATTAATCTGGGAAGGGTTATAAGGCCATTTCCAAACAATTTGAAGTCCATCATTCTACAGTGAGGTATATTATTCACAAGTGAAAAACATTCAAGACTTCCCATGAGTGGACGTCTCAGCAAATTCACCCCAAGGTCAGACCGTGAAATGCTCAGAGAAATCGCGAAACGCCCAAGAAGTACACATCAGACTCAGGCCTCAGTTAACCTCTTAAATGTTAAAGTTTATGCCAATACAATTAGAAATGGTCTGAAGTATGAACATGGAACATGGCTGCACAGCTTCGATTTGCAACATTGCACCTGAACAGACCTCATGACTTCTAGAACAATATCCTTTGGACCGACGAGAGCAAAGTGGAAATGTTTGGCAAAAACCAAACACAGCACATCAGCACAAACACATTATACCAATTGTCCATCACGCAGGTGGAGGGTTAATGATTAGGACTTGATTTTGCAGTCACAGGACCTGGGCACCTACCTTGCTGTCATTGGGTTGACCATGAACTCCTCTAAGTATACCAAAGTATTCAAGAGTCAAATGTTAGGCCATCTATCTAACAGCTAAAGCTTGGTCAAATTTTGCACAATTCACCCAAAAATTTTAATTCTGTCATTTACTCACTCTCATGTCATTCCACACTAGCATTCTTCTGTGGAGCACAAAAGAAGATATTTTAGAAGAGGTACAAAAGAAGAGGTTTTCAGCTGTTTTTTTTGTCAGTGACTGAC